TGCCTTGCATGCACAAGCCCCTGGGATCAATCCCCACTATCACAAAAAAGAAAAAGAAGGAAAGAAATGTTATGGGGCTGGGAGGGCTATTGGTACTAGCAAGACCCTCTGCACCAGTTTTGTCTCCTGTGCCTTTACCTGCCTGGGTTTGAGGGAGGTCTGTGCAGCCCTGCCCAGCTCCTGAAAAAGGTCCCCACTGACTACTTCATGTGTCACAGTGAGAATGAGGCCTTGTGGCGAGAAGTGGCCAGCCTGCGGCAAAAGCATGCCCAGCAACAGAAGGTTGTCAACAAGGTAAGGCAGAGCTGGTGGCCGGTGGGTCCCTCCACAACTGGGCCAGAGTGATAGTGTCCTCTCTGCCCCACAGCTCATTCAGTTCCTGATCTCACTGGTGCAATCAAACCGGATCCTGGGCGTGAAGAGAAAGATGTAAGACTCTGGGGATACCTGTCCCTCCACCCAGGCCCAGGTATCCTTGCCTCTTCCATTGCATCCTGGCAGGCAGCTAACCCCACTCTTCTCCTGCAGCCCCCTGATGTTGAGTGATAGCAGTTCAGCACACTCTGTGCCCAAGTACACCCGACAGTACTCCCTGGAACGTGTCCACGGCCCAGGATCGTACTCGGTAAGCATCAACCAGGTGGCACAGCCACCAGGTATGCGGGACACTATGGGGCTGTGCTGCCACAGGCTACAGACACATCTGCATGTGGCCACTGTCTTTGATTGCAGGCTTCATCCCCAGCCTACAGTGGCTCCAGCCTCTATGCTTCAGACTCTGTCACCAGCTCGGGACCCATAATCTCCGACATCACAGAGCTGGCTCCCACCAGCCCCCTGGCCTCCCCAGGCAGAAACATAGATGAGAGGTAGGCCATGTCACTAGCACTCCTGTCCTGTGGGCCCAAAGAAGAGTTGGGAGTGGTGGAGCCAGCTGAGGCTCCTCCTGACACCCCCACTGTGTCCAGGCCCCAGTCCAGCAGCCCTTTGGTGCATGTCAAGGAGGAGCCCCCCAGCCCACCTCGCAGCCCCCGGGTGGAAGAGGCCAGTCCCAGGCACCCGTCCTCTGTAGACACTCCCTTGTCCCCGACCGCCCTCATCGACTCCATCCTGCGGGAGACCGAGCCTGCCCCTGCCACCTCAGCCACAGCTGTAGTCGCCACTGAAGCTAGAGGCCACACCCCCTCACCCACACCCCCTTCTGCTTCTGAGAAGTGCCTCAGCGTAGCCTGCCTGGACAAGTGAGTACTGCTCCTGTGCATGGAGCTTGGGCCTTTGCTGGGACTGTCCTAGAGGGCTAGCACAGGGTGGTAAGGAAGGTAGGACCTCCAGGGCCCATGGGTACAGTTTGCTGAGGGTGGGTAGGGCAGACCTGAGTCCCATGCTCACATACAAACCTCTGGGTTTGAGGCTGGGGGCAGAAGAGTACCACCCAGACCACCACAGCCTCCATCCCACAGGAGCTAAGGGTACATGAAAGGGCCCCATCTTCCTAGGATTCCCTGCCACCTTGCTGCTGCCGTTACCCTCCTGCAACAAAGCACAGGGCCCTGGTATCTGTGATGCTGTACATACTGGGGCAGGATATGGGGAGTAAGGGCTCAGTCTTGACCACCCCTTAGGCCCTGCCCCAGAGGCTGAGTAAACAAGGGTAATGGGCCCCTCCCCTGGCCTCTGCCTGCAATTGGGGGGGCTCTTGTCTTTGTATCTTGCAGTTTGGCTCGCACTCCACAGATGTCTGGGGTCGCCCGCCTCTTCCCCTGCCCCTCTTCTTCCTTTCTGCATGGCCGAGTCCAGCCAGGGTTAGCGCTGCCCCCAATGGGGAGGGAGGAGGGCTCTGCCAGAGCTCGGGCCCCTCCCGCAGCCACGGACCAGATCCTAACCTGGGTATAGCGCGCTCACCTTGCCTGGTGGAGGATGCCCAGGGGATAGCCTCTCAGGCTCTGCATCTTCACCAACTCCCCTGGGCATAGGCCAATAGCTGTGACTGGAACAAACTCCCACCTGGCCTGGCCATCACTGCAGGCAGGATATAGGGTGTCTTACTGAGCTTCCCTCAGGGTGGGTGGGCCCAGCGGCACTTCTGGAGCCAGCATGGCTGCCATCCCCATGGCCCAGGTATGCCCAGTGGCCTGGGGCCGAGTCACAGTGGGCCGAGGAAGGGGCGGATCCAGCCCTACTGAGTACAGCCCTGTCTCCCTCCTTGCTGTCTTCCAAGCACAGTGACAAAACCTCCTTGAACCTGAATAGCTCTGCCCCCCCTCTCATTTCTAGAGCTGACACCCTTGTCCTCTGCTGCCTTTTTGGCCCAGCTACTCTCACCAGGACCATGCGCGCGCGCGCGCACACACACACACACACACACACACACTCCGCCATCCCCCAATCCCATGCTGTAGAGGCCCTCCTGGGGGTGCTGCCAAGGGGAGCCCTCCCCACAGAGATGCGTGTCTGGGTTGAGGGACCTAGGCCAGTGGTTTATCTGCCCTCACCTTGGGCCAGGAATGAGCTCAGTGACCACCTGGACGCTATGGACTCCAACCTGGATAACCTGCAGACCATGCTGACCAGCCATGGCTTCAGCGTGGACACCAGTGCCCTGCTGGACGTGAGTTTGCCCACTCCACCCGCCCTGCCCTACCTGGCCACCAGCCAGCCCTGACTTCCCTCCCTCCATCCCTCCCTCTCACAGCTGTTCAGCCCCTCGGTGACCATGCCTGACATGAGCCTGCCTGACCTTGACAGCAGCCTGGCCAGCGTGCGTAGGCGGGCAGGGTGGGGGGCAGAGGGGCCTCACAGCAGCCCTCATGGTTCTTCTTCCAACCCATAGATCCAGGAGCTCCTGTCTCCACAGGAACCCCCCAGACCTCTTGAGGCAGAGAACAGCAGCCCCGACTCAGGTGAGCAAGCCCCGTGCCACCTCCCCACCCATTCTCCTGCCTTCTTCCCACCCCACACCTGACCCCTGCCCCACAGGGAAGCAGCTGGTGCACTATACGGCGCAGCCCCTGTTCCTGCTGGACCCAGATGCCGTGGACACGGGGAACAGCGAGCTGCCAGTCCTCTTTGAGCTTGGGGAGGGCTCCTACTTCTCTGAGGGGGATGACTACACGGATGACCCTACAATCTCTCTGCTGACAGGCTCTGAAGCTCCCAAAGCCAAGGATCCTACTGTGTCATAGAGACCCCAAAAAGAGGCAGGCTGGCCTGTGGCCTGCCCCCATCCCAGGACAGGTTCATAGTGCTGGGGTGCCCTGGATCAGCTTCTATAGCCCCAATAGGGGCACAACAAAGGGACTTGGGGCTAGGCAGTGCCTCAGGTGTTTTGCAGGTCCTGAGGTCTGCACACTCACTGCCCTTGCACCAGCCTGGGAGTCCTGGTTTGGTTGGGGCTTTATAGCCACACTTTGGACTGACCCTGCAGGTTGTTTATAGAATTGTATTTTGGATTTTTTACATGAGGGTCCCCCTTCCCTTTCACAGAGAAATATATAAACACAGACGGGCAGAAAAGAGTGATAGTAACATATAAATGGACAAGCTCTGTGCTGTGGCCTCCCGTGTTTCTTCCTGCCCTGGGGTGATGATATTCAGGTGCAAAGAAATGGCCCAAAGTAGAGAGGTCACTGCAGGCCTGGGTTTGGTGGCATAAGGAAAGGGCAGATGCCTCAGAGCCAGTTTTTGCTCACAGCTCTGGAAGAACAGGGAAGGGCAGTGACACTGAGTTGCTAGTAAGCCCCCTTAACCCCCATTCCTGAAGTGTGTCCACTCAAAAATGGGGACTTAAGTGGGCATACCTGTAGGAGGGGTAAGAGCAAAAGACCCCCTTCTGTTCTTGTGAAGTGCTGGGCTGGCTTTGGGGCAGAAACAGCCTGCTCCTGCTGTTTGGATGAGCAGTGTGCATGCCTACCTCCCAGGTCAGGCCCACACTGTTGTAGGAGAAGCAGGCCAGCCCTAGGTCACCCTGTCTGCCCGGGAATTCACCTACTACTCACTGTCCTCAGCAGGCCAGGATAATTGCTACCAGTTAGGCACTGTCTGCACCTTCGGGTCTGTAGGCCTTTCTGAGGGGCACCAGCCAGGATAAGCAGCCCCTAGTTAACCTGCCCTCCTTTCACTACCATTGCTAGTGGGATGATATGAACCAGTTTAATCAGGCTGAAGCAGCACAGCCCTGAGGCCACCACCCACTTCTCACAGGCTTCCCCCATCTTACTGGGCCATAGCTGTAGGTCAGAGAGCTAAGAGCGGTCTAGCTCTAATTTAATTCAGGCACAGCTACGGAAGCCTTATTTTCAGGGATGTGAACCAGGTTCCCCTACAGCAGTAATGGCAGGCCTTTGAGAGCTTTATCAATGACAGCCCTCTCCAGTACAAATGCCATATGCTATTATTGCTGTAGAGGCAATGAGGAAACAGGCCAACATAGACCCTGCTGAGAGACCACCCCCAGTGAGTGACTCATGAACACACTGTATGAGCTCTAAGCCTCTTCTCAGACTGCCAGACGTGAGAAAAGCCCTGAACATTTGGTGACTGGCCTACCCATCTGAAGCCCACTCCCATGTGAAGTCCACACCCAGGAAGGTTGAGCATCTTTTCCCAAGCAAAGGATGAGTATAAGGTGTCTAGATTGGTCAGGGAATCTCATCTTACCCTGGGGTCCACAGAGCCCTAGCTCTACATATGGTAAGAAAGGAAAGGGCAGGACAATAAGTATGACTTCAGCTGGACCTTCACCCCCAAACCCTGCCTTGCTGTTCACCTTCAGCTAGGCTACATCATCCCTTTAATGCTTGTGCCCTACTCTTGCAACTAAGCAAGCTTGTCCATATACCCAAGGTCACTGACACTTAAGGTGGCTGCTGACTGAAGTGGAAGGGTACGGTGAAACCCAAATACAACATCACAGTCTTAGCTGGAAGCATAAGGACCACTGGCCTCACTGGGTTTGAGCAGCCCTTCCCATCAGTCCCCATACCCCCAAGCAGCTGAGGGAAGTCACTCCAGACAGCACTTTTATTGACACCCTTGATCCCTGGTCAGCATACTCAAGACACTCCACCAGCTGGATATTACTGTTGACATCTGTGATGGGAACAGAAGAGCGCCCCATAGGGGCATAGAGGCCTTCCAGGGCAGAAGGATGTAAGCAGTCAGGCCACCTAAAGAACTCCAGGCCCAGGCAGAAGACAACTGTTGGCTCTGGCTATGGGCAATGAAGAGAAGCCAGACTCGGGAGCAGCTCAGGCCCCTGCTGTTGAGGGCTCATAGTTGAACACATAGTAGTCATGGACATACATGAGCACAGCCATCGGTTGCCCAATGATGAGTGTCAGCCACACAGCTGCATTGCCATAGTTGCCTTGGAAGATGCGGCCCACAATCCAGGCCAGCGGAACCTGGCAACAAGTGGAGATAAGATTCATCAGCTATAGTAACTATAAAAAATGGGGCTTGGCACAAACAGGTAGGAGGTAGGCTAGCAAGGCAGTTTACTTACTTGAGCCATCATAGCTGTGAAGGCCCAGAGGCGGAACATTCGCAGGGGGATGCTCAACACATACTGCAGAGAAGGGATTAGGTGGTGTTAGTGTCACAACCATTGGCCACCCTCATGTCCCAAGGTGAGTTGAGACACCCACAGAGCACTGACCTCATGGAAAAAGGCTGAGGCTAGGAACACTCCTGTCCTGGCCATCCATTTGCTATTGCCTCGTCGAACCAGGGGCTTGTAGAAGTGTCTAGAGAGGAAGTAGCTATGGGATGAGGTCCTGGCAAGAGCCCCAGGCTATATCCATACCCGATATGCACACAACCACCCACCTGAGGCACCACTTGTGCACCGGGATATTCCAGTTCTGCCAGAAGTAGTTGACAGACTCTGCGTTCCTGGGGGTCAGAGACAACAGGATAAGTAGGATACCCTGTGACCTACCAAGCCCCCAGGGCCATTCTCAGGGCCACCCACCACCAGTCTCGGTAGAACTCCCGGTCTCCAAACTGCATCAGCTCTGCCACAGCATTCAGGCAGGAGTGAAAAAGCCAGTAGAAGAAGATGAGCCAAATGAGATGGTTGGGTACCTGTAGAGGGAGGGGCTCTAGGTTATAGAACAATTTCACCCTCAGACTCCACCCAACTGCCAGCCAGTGACACTCACCGCCAGCTTCAAGAGACGTTCAATAATACGTGAGTAGTCCATATCCTGCAGAGAAAGATTGCTTCAATCTCTGCCTCCCCCACCTACACCCCAGCTGTAAGACTGTGAGATGCTCACCCTGAAGGGCTTCATGGAGTTCTGGATGGTGGGGACCATCCACTGCAAAGGAGGGCACCATGTCAAATTCAGCCATGCTGGCCCTACCATCCACCCCCTGTCTCCCCCACTCACCTGCTGGACCAAGCCAACCTGGAGCTGGATGAAGAACAGCTGAGGGAAAAACCCAGAGAGCAGTCACTAAAATCCCAGCCACTACCAGGTCCTGCCCCTGGTGGCTTTTCCAGGGAACAAACCTTACCATCTCAAAGAGCCGCCGCAGCAGAAAGCGTTTTCGGATTCGGGGTGAACGAGGAAAGTTGAGTTCGTAACACAAAGTAGGAGCAAAAATGAAGTAATAGAGATCTGGAAGGGAATGAGTGGCTGGAATCAACAGAGATCTGACTGTTCCCTCCCATACACAGGGCCCAGACCCCATCTGCAAAGGTGCTCACCACGGTAGGTCAGGTTGTCTGGGTAGCTGACAGCACCCTGGGCACTGTCCCCACTGGCTTTCTTGCCTGCAGAGGCTGAAAGCAAATGAGGGCAGAGGGTGGAGTGGGGTTTGCTATCCAGGCACAGCCTTTGAGGTAGGCCCAGCCCCCAAATCCCTCACCAGCCTTGGACTTAGCCCTGTGCTGTCGGCACCACAGGTTGACATCCCGGTAGGAGAAGAGCTTGAGGAAGAGGATGGTGTACGCTGTCAGGGCCAGCGCGGAACCCACTGCAGAAAAGGCATGCTCAGCCACAACCCACCACATACCCTGGGGATCCAAGCCATGAGGCTGAATCAGGGCTGGCCCAGGAAGAATGGAGGCATACTTGGAGTGATGGATTTGTCCAGTAAGGCCACAGCTGCTGGGAAGCAGAGAATAGTGACGAGGTTGGCCACGTGCAGCAGCAGCCCCACCTGCTCTGTCATGGTGCCCTGTTGGGGGGTGGGGACATACTTAAGGCCTCTGGGACAGGCCTCCAAGGACTGTGGTAGGGAAAGAACAGATACTGCTTACCGCTGCCAAACACTTCTCAATATGGAATGCAGCCACAATAAAGACATTGGCCACTGAGAACAGAAGCATCATAGGGCAGGTTCAGGGCCCAGTCCACCTTGTGCCCACCCATGGCCCTCCTTAGAGCCCAGCTCACCAATGATCAGACATGGGGCAGGCCAGCTGTAGGGATCCTTCAGGAACATAGACACCACCTGGATAGGATCCACCAGGATGCCATACCTAGGGGTGGAGCAGTAGGGGCCTGAGTGGTTGTAGACCCAGGCCTGGGGGTAGGGCCTCTAAAAAGTACTCACTTGATGAGGTTCTCCAAAAATAATCGAGCATTGCTCAGGATCTGCAAGAGAACATCAAGAGGGCTCATCCCTCTGAGGACTGACCAGAATCCCACTAGTACCTCCCAGCTCCCTTTAACACCCCTGGAGCAAGAGGTCAGGGTGGCATCCTCTGCGTTACAGACCCAGTCCCTCTGGTCTTCACACTAAATGCTGAGATTTACCACAAACTAGTCAGTACAGATCGGAGAGGTGTATCTCACTATCCCATGCAGAGGGGCTAACCCTACTACAGACATTTCCAGTAGAAAGCAGACCTGTAGTTCATAGCACTTATTCTTCTCACCAAGCTGAACCACTGAGGAACCCAAAGCCAAACCCTTAGTCTGCCACTAGGTGTCATCCCCAAAGTCATGCCTGCTAGGAGAAACTAGCCTGGGCTGAACCCCAAGGACTAGTTTGGGAGTGAGGAGGCCTTGTGCTAGCCCATGAGCCAGGCTGGTCCCTGCAGTGCCCAGCTTGGCAGCAAGAGGCTTCAACGGGATGGTAGGCCCTAGAAGCGGAGGGAAGATCTCATCATAGCTGAGAGAGACAGGAGGTACTTTGTCCCTGCCCTGCCTCAGCTGTTTTACAAGACTAACGTCTGAGGCCCAATACAGTCTCTAAGGACGGACACAGGCCCTTCTTCCCCTGCCATCAAAACAGGCTCCTGGCTCTGGCATGGGATTAGATGGTTCGCCTGTTCTATCTCACCTGCAAAGCACCTGAAAGCCAGGTACTGATGCCACCACATCATCCAACTGCCCAGAGCTCAAGTCTGAAACAGTAGAGGTCATGGTGCTGTGGAAAAGCAACACCAGCAAGGGAACACTACAAGGGAAAGCTGTCCTGCTAGCCTGCTGCCTCAGTACTCGGAATTCCATATTGTCACCCACACTGTGGACCCTCCTGAGCATCCACAAGGCACATACCATATATAGAGAGGACTGATGGAAACCAGAACAGCTGTGACCTACGCCTACTGGGCCAAAGGGTGCCAAGAGAATACACAGTGCTGCCTGGCCTGGATGAGGGCTTCCCTGGCCAGTAACCTCTTTACAGACCCCAGCCTGGGTTAAAAATGGGACATGTCATCTCCTGAGTGCTAGGCTGGCCTTGTGCCCACGATCTCACCCTCTAGGCCTCATGATCCCCAACAGGATATGGCAGGTGGTGGTAGGTGGAGCCCTTCTACATTGACAGCCACATAAGCTGTGCCTAAAGCAGAGGCTGACACATGGGTAGGGGTCAAAGGCCTTGGACCATATCAGCCCTGAGTGACAAAAACCGAGCACAAGCAGCACCTTGCCCTAGACCCACCCTTCAGGCTGCCCCTTTGAGCCTTGGACTCCAACTGGCCTCTGGGGTGGGGCTATGGCCATGCCCCCACAAAGTGCCAGTGAAAACTAGGTCCCAGAGCCTGCAGACATTGGACACCCCTCCAAGCTTCACTAGGACCCAAAGCTAAGGATAAGGAGTCAGGGGCTTCTAGAGCAGTTGTAGCTATAGAGTATTGGGGGTTCCCACAGCACAAGACCACACATTCCCACAGAATGCCCCTTCTCTCTGCCCACCCCACATGGCCAAGAGGACCCTGTACCCCAGAGACACAGATCACAGCCTAAGTCCTTGAGCTCCAGGTGTAATGCTAAGCCTCCCCACTACCCCCATGCCCTCCTGGTATCCAACAAGACCCCTGTGTGACCAGTGCAAGTACCACCTCTGCTTTCCTCGCCAGCCCAGGGATGGCAGCCACATGGGCTATGGTCTTCCCGGGGCAGCTGCAATTTTTTTTTTTTTTTAAATAAGGGTAGCTATAATGTGCTCTTACACCCCTGGTACAGAACCTATGCCCAGGATAATGCCAGCCCAGACAGCTCTGCCATACCTGCCTACAGGTAGGCCTGCTCCAATACCCCAGTCTACTTACCAGCATCACCACACACCAATTCAGGATGCCACGGTAGTTGCTGAAGCCACTGTTAGAGCTGAACAAAGAATCCTGCAGGCGATGGCACCTGGCAGAGCAGGGGACAGGCTCTTCGGTAAGGAGATGCCAACAGGAAGGCTGGGTCTACCACTATAACCTATCTTTTCTGCTCACATACCCCACTCTACACTTACAGTAGAAGGAGAAGCCAGCCTAAACTATGGCAGCAGCCACATGGTCTGTAGGGAGCAAAGTTTACAGGAGCACCCAGAGGCCTTCCTTAGGCATTGAAAGGGGGCACATCACAGCAGGCTGGAGCTGGCTGGGCCTACATGGCTTAAGCTCCCCATGCCAGGAGCTTGCCCTTGCTCCCCAAAGGCCCCGACTACAACCAGACTCAAACCACCAGAAGAATCCAACCCATGAATATGTGAAGTATCCAGCACTGCAGTGCTGGGAAAAAGGGTAAGGGTGGAGTCCACCCAGATCAGTAGGCCCATCAGCCACCTAAGAAGACCAGGAGTCCTCACTACAGCCCAGAAGAGCTTCTTCCAGGCCTGAGGGAGCACAGGAACTCAATAAAGCAGCTGACCAAACATTATGCCTAATATGCACCTTGACGTGGTCCACGTTCATAAGCTCTGTGGTCATGTCTAGACTGGAAGTGCTAAGAGTCAAGCTGTGAGCCAGATATCTGATGGAAGGACCCTGCAGCAGAAGCAGGTCCCATTTGTGAAAGCACCCACCCGTATTGGAGTGGAAGACACCAACAGACCCCGCCTGTGAAGAGGAGTACTGAGAGTGGCAGAAAGGCCACTGGGGCTGGATCTTGGCTCTGCCCAAGCCAAAGACAACAGGAACAAGATCACAGCCTATGTGCTAGGAAGCAGCACCCTTGCTCACTCATCACCTGCAGCCCTGCCTTGGCCTCCAGCAGCAATGCCACCAGGAAGCCACATACAGCACAGAGCAAGTTCTTTGTTTCGTAAGAGAGGCCAGTGCCTCCCTTTTCCTCTTACCACACCCATGTATACCTCACAGAATCTGGGCAGTGGGAGCCGGGTAAGGGTAGCAGAGGCACCATAACACAGATATCCTCTTAGAACTGGTCTTGCCCAGAAAAAAAGCATGGCTTTGGTCAGAGTCAACAGCTGAGCACTCACCCAGGTAAAGAAGGGCCAAGGAGGCTAAAGGGCAGTGTTAACAGGGCCAACCTCTGACCCTCAGATCAGTGTCTGCTTGGCACCTGGCTTCCTCCACATTATCTCCCAGTAGACCTTCCTGCCCTTCTCAGACTGAAACACCATGGTCGACAGCTCTATATTAACCCTAGTCCCAACCATTGTCCAGCCCCCTCTCCCAGATTCAGGCCTGTGCTTCCTGGATCTACTCAAGTCTATTTTGACACACACAGTGAAACTGTGGTCTTACCTAAATACTTCTTCCAAGCTCTGTCCTTACCTTTATAACTAACAAATAGCACTACCCCCAACTAGCTACACTCACTGCCTGTCCTCCCCAGTGCCCTAGCCCCATGAAGCAAGCAGATAGCTTCTCTAGACCTGTCTGCTAGACTAGGCATCTCCAATCCCCCTGTCCTCCAGGCTGAAGCCCATTTACTAAAACGAGAACTGATCCCCAACCCTTTTGGCTGTGTTGAGCCACCACCATCATTTGCTGTTTTCATATCATCATGACTATTTCAAAACAGTGTGACCTCTATGTTCATCTCCAAAATGAAAACAGGAATAGGAAATCTTTCTTGCCAAAGACAATATCCTAAGTTACTTTTTTTTTTTTTTTTTTCTATAATATGGGTACCTGGAATCAAACTCAGGACCTCACACTTGCCAGGCAGGCACTGCACCACATAGCTAAAACCTAGGCCCCCAAAGACAATATTCTGAGAGCTTTTTCAACTCCTCCCTGTGGGACACCAAGGGACCACCCACACATGTCCTTAGGTCCTTCCATGGCCTATGAACCAGGTCCATCTTTAGGCAGCAGCCACACTACACACAGCTCAGCTGTGCTGACCCCTCCCAAGTCAGAGGTCTCTGACCCAGGGGAAGAACCCCTCCATATACCAAGGCATACTAGGATACACGCTTGCCAATGTGGTCAGCAGCAAATGGGCTGGAGGGCAGGCCACAGGGATGGCAAGAGGAGAGGCGGAAACTGGCCAGCCCTGCCAAGAGCTGACTTTGACACTCTCTAACCCACTGGATGGCCTGCCAGTATTCTGTGCCTTTCAGCTGTCCTACACCCACTCCCCCGAGCCAAAAGGACAAGAAACAGCCTTTTTCTCCTAAAGCTCCAAGCCTAACCAAGTGGACTCCAGGCAGTGTCCTCTCTTTCCTGTCTCTCACTCATTCTCACCTGTAAGATAACAGCCATCCCCACAATGCACATGCCAAGGTCTGTATCATACCCAATGGCTAAGCTTCCAATGACTTTTTTTTAAATTTGTGTGTGTGTGTGTGTGTGTGTGTGTGTGTGTGTGGTCAGCTCAGCCCACCAGGGGACGGGGCTAGCTGGCAAGTGGTGCTGGGGGATTGAACCATGGTCCCTGTGCTTTGCTAAGCTTGTTCTAAGTAGGTGCTTCAGACCACTGAGTCATCTCACCAGCCCCTCCAATGACTTTTCAAGGACCACACGGTCTAGCTCTAGGGCCAAGCAGAATCAGGACAGAGTGCCAGTTCTCCTTCCAGCTGCCAGCTCTTTAACATTTCGTTTATGCCACCCTCTGGCCAACCCCTGGGGTGCAAGAAATAAGAAGGACTTTCTGAGCCAAACACCCTAGGACAGTAATGACTAACCTATGGCATGTGTGCCCAAGTGGGCTATTATCATTAAAAGCTTTATTTATTTATTTGTTTTGTGATACTGGGGATCAAACCCAGGACCTTGCAGTTGTCAGGCAAGCACTTATGCCTACTGAGCTATAACCTTAACACTCTAAAAGGTTCGCCAAGGGCTGGCGAGATAGCTCAGCGGTCTAAAGCCCCTGCTTAGGTAAGCTTAGGCAGGTGCAGAGGACTGCAGTTCGATCCCCAGCACCATATGCTGTGCCAGTCCCACCCTCAGGGTGGACTGAGCAGGCAAAAAATAATAATAAAAGAAATAAAAGCTAAGTCTAAGAACTAAATTTAAATAAATAAATAAATAAATAAAAGGTTCGCCAAGAACCCAAAACCAGAAAATTCAGCCTAGTGTGGTCATAAACCAAGGGCCAGCTACAGTGTCCAAAGCCTGTAAGTGTAAACAGCAGGCAAAACACAAATGCTGCCTCACCTTTCCATAGGGCAGAAGAAATGAACAGATACCTGGTTCATCTGCTCAGCCCAAGGTAAGCAGGAAGTATTGGGGAGGGGAGAAGATGAGAGCTCAATAAAGCAAACGGAAGACTGGCCAGATAGCTCAGCAGATTAAAGTGCCTGTTTAGGTAGATGCAGGGACTGGGGTTGATTCCCGGCATGCTGTGCTGGCCCCGCCCCTGGGGCGCACTGAGATGGCGATTGAGACTGGGTGCAGTGGTGTACACCTGTAATCCCAGCACTTGGGACGATGAAAACAGGATTATGAATTCGATCTGTGTAGTTAGACCCTATAGACCCTGTACTAAATACACAGAAATTAAAAATAAATATAAATATAAATAAATAAAGCAACCATGCAAGCAAAAGCAGAGTGGAAGGCTGGACTGGGCCAAATGCAGCAATAAGCAGGGAAGAAGACTGGTAAAAGAAGGGTGAGCTTTGGCCCATTCTCAGGAGGGTAGCCAGACTAAAGTCTGGTCCACCAACAGGAAGAATGGAGTCCATCCAGGCATGGTGGCACATGTCTATAATCCCAGCACTCAAGAGGCAGAGGCATGGGGCCAGGGACATAGCTCAGTAGAATAAACCCCTGCCTGGCAAGCTCAAGGTCCTGAGTTCAATCCCTGGTACCGCAAAAAAAAAAAAAAAAAAGTTAAGAGCCTGAGGCAGGAGAACTACTGTAGAGTCTGAGCTCAGCTGGGGCTACACAGTGAATTCAAGATGAGCCTGAGGGGGCTGGGGAGATGGCTCAGCCTAGTGTTGAATAAGCACTTGCCTAGCAAGCACAAGGATCTGAGTTCAAGCCCCAGTTCTGCCAAAAAAAAAAAAACAAGAAACCCAACAAAACAAAAAAAAAATAAAATAAGACTGAACTACACAGCAAAATGCTGATATCTCATATATCTGAGTAACTAAAGATAACAATGTACAGTATATTAACCATTGTTACCCTCCTATCATACTGTTTTGGAATTTTGTTTTTATTTCCTTTTCTTTAAAATAATTTTTTATGAATGTCCATTTTGTATCTGTGTATTCAGAGTGGTTAGGATAGATATATAGTTACATTCTCTTAATGAATAGAGCGATTTGTTCTAATGGTGTTTGTAAATAGGATATCATGTCCACATCTTGTACAGCAATTAACCACTAGGAAGAATGTATGCAATGTGTTAATTATTGAAACTGTCCTACCAATTTGATTTGAAAAAAAAAAAGACTGCTCTGTGAAACTGATTTATATTAAATGAAATTATGCTGTTGAAAAAGTTTTAACATTAATAAAATCTATATGACTAGAAAAAATAAATCAAATTAAATAATTTTTTAAAGTAAAATACAAAACAAAAAGTAAAAAGTAGGGCATTGTGATACACACCTGTGATCCCAGCATTTGGGAGGCTGAGACAAAAGGATCACTGCAAGTTCAAGCCTAGTTTAGGCTATAGAGTAAGTTCAAGGCCAGCCTGAACTTAATGGTGAGACCTGGTCTCAAAAAGACAAAAAATAAAAATAGGCCCAGGCATGGTTTCCTACTCCTGTTATCTCAGCACTTGGGAGCCTGAGGCAGGAGGATCTCCATAAGCCACGCTGGATTAAATAGGGAGTTAAGAGCCCAGCCTGAACTACATAACTGCATAGCAAGATCTTGTCTGTCTGTCTCTCTTTCTTTCTCTTTCTTTATTGGCAAGACCTTGTCTTTTTTTTTTTTTTTTTCCTTCTGCTTTTATTTTGGTGGAACTGGAGATTGAACTAAGGCCCTTGTGCTTGCCAGGAAAGCGCTTATTCTACTGAGCCATCTTCCCAGCCCCGAGACCTTGACTTCAAAAGAAAAAAAAAAAAAAGAAAGAAAGATAAAGAACTGGGCTGGCCAGATAGCTTAGTGTCTGCTTAGGCAGACACAGGGGCCAGGGTTCAATCCCAGGCCTGCTGTGCCGGCCCCGCCCCGGGGAGCACTGAGAGATGTCCAACTGAGACTGGGTGTGGTGGCGCATGCCTGTAATCCCAGCGCTTGGGAGGGTAAAAACAGGAGGATCACTAGTCTATTCTGTGTAATGAGACCCTGTACTAAATACATTAAAAAAAAAAAAAAAAATGGGAGTCTAGCACCCTTACCAACAGGCCTTGAGCCCTGCTTCATTCCCAGGGTTAAAAGACAAACACATAGAACCTATCCACAAGCAAATTATCAACTAGCTCTCTTTTCCAGACCTGGGCAGTGCCCTACCATCTACCACTGCTCTGTTTAATGACACAAGACCTCCACTAAACTGGCCTTTCCCACTTGCCTCACAGGAGCCCCATGCCAGCAGTCACAAAAGGCTTTCTGGCCATTAACAGGAACATGACTACTCCCTCTGCCTATCCCTAGGTGGTGATCTGGTGGGATCTCCCCTCAATCTCACAAAGAACCCCAATTCCCAACCATCCCAGAAGTCCTATTAGCCATTCCCCCTACCTCCTGGAGAGAAAGAAATGGGGCAATCACTGGAGGGCCAACTCCAGGACTTTAGACTTTTCAGGCAGGAGGTACAGGAAGTCAGTGCCCCTCTCAGGAGGGTTAGCCTCCTCCCCAGTAATGCCTTCATGACTCCTCACCTGACCTTTGTTCACACTATGCCTCCTATGCCTTACACTATGGTTATCTTATCTGCCAGGTGAGCCTTGAGAATTCCAAGGGAAGTGATACAGCCTGCACCACAGCTGTCCTCCCTTCCCTGCCTCCCCACGCTTTAGAAAGGCTTGTTTATTAAGAAAGTAAGTCACTGTCATTACCCACCTACTTCCTCCTAGCTTCTCAGCTGCTCCCTGAGCCAGAGTCTCTGAGGATGCATATGAAAGCCAGGGGCAGAGATGATGCCTCAGTAGAATAAGTGCTCCCCTGACAAGCGCAAGGGCCTGAGTTCAATCCCCAGTTCCACAAAAAAAAAAAAAAAAAAAAAAAAGGCTTGGGGTGACCTCAGGGACAGTTTGGAGGAGGAAACTAATGCCCAGGCTACCAAGTTCTCATCATCGGCCATGGTGGATGACCTCATGCTGACATGTCAGTCAAGCAGGGCCCACCTGTAAGTACCTCCACCTCAAACTCCTATGCTCCAACCAGAGAACGAAAATTCTGACATAAGACCTGTTCTGCCTCTCCAATGGGCACTTCTGCAAGGCTCAAGACCTCCCCAGCCTGTGGGTGAGGGATGAACTCTCAGGAGGATCTTCAAGGACAAGAAAGCTCCCGCAATGCCCCCTTCCCTGAGCAGACGCCCACTCTCCTGATTACAGACGGCGCTGAGACCAGGTGGGCCGAAGCTGAGACCAGGCGGGCCGTCCCTGGCACACCAGCCTTTTCTGGGAGCCTTTCCCCACCCCGAGGGTACTCCGCGAGGTGGCCCTTCTGAGGGCCATCTCAAGTCCTCACGCACCTCCTTCCAAACCCGAAGGCAGAGTTACAGGATAGGCGCCAATCTTTGAGGACCTGTCAGAGGGGTGCCCACCTGCCAGCTCGCTCCCCTCCCCCCTCCGCGTGCTCGCTCCTCGACCCATGGTGTGACCTTGGCAGCTGACCCTTTGCACCAAAACTTCGGTGTCCCCTTAGGGCACAATGGTCCCCGGGTTTAAGACCGAACCACTGGGGCCGCTCCAGAGAAACAGAGCAGCGTCTGGGGTCAGAGAAGTGCGGTAAGGCATTCCTCTACCTCAGGTCCAAGGGGCCGCTGCTCACTCCGGCGTCTCCGTCTTTGTCCGGGACCAGGGCCGGCGCGTCCCCCCTGGCTCCTACGTCGGGGCCTGCGATCGCGTCTCGCACGTCCTCCGCCGCAGCCGCGGGCCCACCTCCGCCCTGGCCTGAGGACCGCGACCCAGTCCTCCGGCGCCGGGAGCTGCCCGCACCGCTGCGGTCCCCCATGGCCTCAGCCGCGCCGCCCCAGTCTTGTCCAGCCGGGGCCCGCGACCCCGCAACCCAGCCTCCGGACTCTTGGCAACGGCCGCCACCGCCCCCTGTCGGCCGCCGTAGCCGCTCCTAAACCACTCACTGGCCGGAAGCCCCTGACTAGCGGGTAGTAAATGTGTGCGCTTATTTGTAGTCCGCGACCGGCGAGAGGCGGAGCCTCAGCCGCAGCGCAGAGCACCCTGGGAGTCGCAGTCACGGAGCTGCCTGGGCAGGTCTGGGTCTTGTGTAGTCTCGGTTCTCGGGTCCCTGAGGAAAAGTCAGAAATTCAACTTGGTGTGGCCCAGCAGCTCGAAGACTGCGCCAGCGCCCACCTCTCTGACAGCTGGACACTTTACCCTGACTTCTTGCTGGCCCCTTGTCCCACTTCTGTAAACACAGGGTTTCGTCATCCTTTGGCTCGGGGAACCATTTGGGGTGTAGGTCAACTACGAATGGTGTCGTACACTACCGTCTGACTGCCCTGTCCCAGGGCTCATGTCTGAGCACAAAGCCGGCGGGAACTATAACACAAATACCAGATCAGGATCGAGCCAGAAAAGAGCCTGTACGTTTGCCTGAATGAAGCAATTGATCAGCCACCGTGGCTGCTTCGGAGCCCATTTGGCCTGGCATGCATTCTGCACCGGATGCCAAGTGCAGGTCTGATTTCCCCGGATACACGTTGAATAGCAGAAACATAAGACCTCTCGAACAAACTATCTTGGGTCTGAGGCGTCCCACCGACCTCATCCAGCTTCTACTACCTTTGACCTTCGAGGCTTCCTACCTATGACCTGTTCTTGCGCAGGTCGTTTTTAGTTGATTGTAGGCCAGACATCAGAAGCCGGTGCTACATAGCAAGTATCTGTGAAGCATGTTGAGGACTACCCTATCAGCCAGAAAGCTCCTCATGGGTGGGCCTTGTTGGCTCAGGACTATCTCATTTCCTACCCAGTCTCCCATAATAAATCTGTTCAACCCAGTGTATGATAATAGGATGTAGCTGGACTAGGGCCAGGCAGGGGTAGTCCTTTTTGAATGTTGACCTCAAAAAGGAAGCCAGGAAAGACTGTCCCCTTTGGAGCCTAGGGAGAGGAGGTATAGGAGCTCTACTACCCCCTCACTCTCTCCTCTCTCCCCAGCTAGTATACTTTAGCAGTACCATACTCCAATACAGAACCAAGAACTAGAGCGCCAGCCAACTCTAGGACATTGCTCGCAGAAGGTTGACAGTTCAGCCTTCCAATAGGCCCAGAGAGGCATAGCTCACCAGCCCTTGATGAATGAAAGGTTAAGATAGCGGTGGCTATCTTGACTATGCCTAGCTCAAAGCAATAAGTCAGTAAATGATCTTCATAGGAGGGTGACCAGAAGGTGTACTAGAGCCACCAGGGAGGAGATGCTAGCCAGCTGAGTGAAGCTGAACCAGTGTTGCCTGACACAAACTCTAGCAAACCCAAAAATTGAAAATAAGGTACAGCCCAGGGCACCAAGAAAAGAAGAAAGGTCAGGGAAGATAAGTTTGTTAAGGACTGGGCAAAGGAGACAACTCAATGGCATAAGTGCCTGACTGGCATGCACAGGGTCCCAAGTTTGATCCTTTTCTATACATATTCCACCCATTCTAAGTTAGCCTGGGTTGACCCCGACATTGGGCAAAAGCCCTTTACTGCTTTCAGTTCCTGGTACAGCAGATTCACCTGCAACAGGGGAAATGCCAACTATTTTGCCTTCAGTACTGCCAAAAAAAAAAAAAGACTAGTGTGTGTGGCTGGTTGGCCAGGAAATCATGGTTTGGTGGTCTGTACCACCCATTCTGTGCAATGGATAGTTGTTTCCATGGTAGACTGAAAAGAACAGGGAGATGTGGTCATACCAGGCCTTGGGGAGAATGCTTCCATAACTTCTTGTTGCACCACCCTCAGAATCCCAGAGAAACACAAATGGCCATTCAAGACACTACAGTTGGGCTGAGGAGATGACTCAGTAGAATAAGTGCTTACCCTGGCAAGCGCCAAGGGCCTGAGTTCAATCCCCGGTTCCACAAAAAAAAAAAAAAAAAAGCCACTGACAGTTTTGGAGTCTTTTGGCAAGGAATGGGCAGCTAGGAGCTTCCTTGCCTGCCTTTGCCATGTCAGGATATAGATTCAGAATGGTGTGGGTGGAGGACTGGGGTAAGGCTGTGTCAAAAGCACCTCTGGGTTTCTCATCCTTAGGCATATCATGTAGTTTATCTCTTCCCCAATACTGTTTCCTCACCTACAAATAGAAAAATAATGCTTACTCAGCCCAGACATAGTGAGGATCTCCCTGTAGGAGGTTTGGCCACTGACCCTTCCCAGTACCAGGTATCCCTTTACACTTGCTGTTGGGTTGTTTTTGTTTTTCTTTGTCTGGTACCGGATATCAAACTCAGGACCTTTGTCTTGTTGGGCAGGCACTTATGCTTGTTGAGATGTATCCCTGGCCCTACTCTTGCTGTTATTGCTGGTAGAGCACTCCAGAAGCCAACGCTCATTCCCCATTAGCAGGCCAAGAAGCCATGACCTTCATAGAAGAGACACTGGATGGAGTTCAGATGGGTCTGGTCTCTTGCCAGGGTGTAGGCAGCTATTCTGGCCTTGGCCTAGGGCTGACCTAATTTGACCACCTGTGTATAGTTGTTGGGCAGGTACTCAACTCACATCTGCCTACTGGTTGCCAAGAATCATAGTTGAGCAAGGGGCCCACCCCCCCAATGTCCTCAGCTCAGCTCCCCCTGTCTAGGCCCTGAGGGTCAAGGGTGGATTCAGAAGCTTCCCTGCCCTAGGCACTTCCTCCCTGGAACTGGCCCAGCACAGCTTTCCACAGAGGCGTTCTTTCTCCAGCAGTGCAGAAGCATACCCCCTGAGTCTGAGGATCAGGATGAAGGCAGCAGGCCATAGGGAGAGGCTTGACCTCAAAACCTCTGCCATTCCCATTTCTTCCAACAGCATATCAGAAGTCTTACAAAGGAAGAGGGACCCTGCACTGTGGATGTAACTGACTGCAGATCAGGTCTGAAGAGATGGTCGAAACTCACGTAGAGAGGGTAGGGGAGAATTGAGGCTTCTCACATCAGAGGACTACAACCTTTTCTATGCATATTCCGCCCATTCTAAGTTAGCCTGGGTTGATCCCGACATTGGGCAAGAGCCCTTTACTGCTCTCAATTCCTGGTATAGCAGATTCACCTGCAACAGGGGAAATGCCAACTATTCTGCCTTCAGACAAATAGATATGTTGTGGCTCAGCCAGCCAAGCCAGCTGTATCCAGGTATGAGCCACAGCTTTATTCACAACTGGGCCTGCAGAATCAGGAAAACACCTCAGGAAGAACACATCAGCCAACACTCCAAATTCTATCAAGAGTGGCATTTATTCTCCTTGTGGAGGTGCGGCGCTCCGGGGAGCTGGTGCTATTGTGCTTAGGAAGGAGGTCTGTCGTCCGTCCGTCCGTCTGTCCGGCCGGCCCAGCCCCAAATGGGGGCAGAAGAAGGGCTCGGCCCGAGTAAAAATCCCGGCCTGTTCCGGGCAGGAATATGTACAAGGCGGCGGGGCGCAGGCGGGGGTGGGGGCGGGGCAGGCCGGCGGCCACAGCCCCCACCCGAGGGCCCCGCACCTCGGGCCCTACTTGTAGAATCAGTACAAAATAGGTGCTACCTAAACGTTCCTTCTACCTGAATTCACTAAGTCGGTTATTGTGCTGCTTAGTAATGGGGGCAGGAGGGGGCCCATGGCTTTCCACGGCGGCAGGGTGTGGGGGAAGCAGGAGAGCCTGGTGAGCCAATGACTTTCTGGCCTTCTCCTTAGGTAGGGAGACAGGGGTGCAAAGTGGGGCGACATGAGGCGCCTGTGTGAGCTTGTACATGCGGCACAGGCAGGCAGGCCCCGCTGGAAAACGATGCAGGCACCACACCTGGTGGCTGAGGGGGGTTGGGGCAACCAACCTTGGTGCTGGGGATGAGGCAAGCCACATCATATACTCCAGCTTGCACCCTGTCCACTGACAGCAGAACCGTGCTTGCCAGGTAATCAGCGGGTGGGCATCTGTGAGGGCTGCCCTGGTAAAGCTGGGCCCTGGATCTGTACCACCTGAGCTGGGGACGCAAGGCCCAAGTCAAAGGCAGAGCCTGAAGGTGCCCAACAAGGAGCCGAACTGAGGTGGGGAGAAGGGGACCATGGGCCCAGGGACCAGGCGCTCTGCATCTGCGTCTGCCCCTAGACTACCCAAGCCCACTGGGCCTCTGTAGTGGACATACACTTCCCCAAAGGTCTCTGCATCTCTGGCGGACTCAGCAAAGGGCCTGGCACATAGTAATAAATGCCCAATGGACGATCGATGAGTGATGGACGACTGACGGAGGAGCCTTGGGTGCAACCACCCTGCCCCCGCCCCTGGAACCACGATGCCCGCCCGCCGGGCTCTGCCGTGGGGAGCGGGAAGGGGGTTAAGAAAGTCTGCGCGGCCGGCCCGCGCAGCATCCCTGATCTAGGGTCCTATGGGGTGGTTAGGGCGGGGGATACCTGATTCTCAGTAACTCTAGAGGCTGCGGCAGCTTCGCATGCAGTGCGCATTATTGCTCTATAGTCGGCATCGGACTAACTAAGAGGAAAAGGGAGCGGGCAGCCCCGGGATGGGTTGGGAGGCGGGATGGGGCTACATGCAGTGACGTCACAAAGGCGGCGGCCAATGGGGCGGGCCCTTGGGCGGGGTCGCCGCCGAGGCTTTGGCATAGACGGGCGAAAGTTGGCAACCTAGTGGGGCGGGGCCTGGGCCTCGGAGGAGGGGGAGGGGCCGGCCTTAGGGAGGTGGGATCCGAGGCTCCCAGGAGGCAGGGCCCAGCTAGGGGCGGGGCTCCGGGGCGAAGAAGAGATCTTGGACCTCCCAGGCCCCCGGCGTCGGCGGGAAGGAAGGGTTCGGCGCCCCCTCCCTGACCCGAGTGCAATCCGTTCATAAATAAAACGTACAAATACAGAAAGAAAGAAACCCGACGCGTCCGCACCCCCCAGGGGGCTTTACCCGCAAAGCGAATACAGAGGTGTATAGAGAGCAGAGCACGCCTCGCTGCCGGCCCGGGTATCCGTCCTCCAACACCGAAAGCCCGGGATACTAGGGAGGGGGCCCCGGGGCAGGGGGGAGCGGGATCTGAGTAGGTCGGATAAGTCCATGCGATTCGATATGCGTCGTTATTATTCGTTATGGAGGACAGAACCTGGGAAGCTGGGCTGGAAGAATTCGGATTTGGCAGAGGATGCGAGGAAAGGTAAGAGGGCGGCTCAGACTGAGGACCCAGAAAGAATTCGAGGGACAAGGTGCCGCCGTCCGCCCCTTTCCCCCGTCCCCAACGCGTCGAACACAGCCGGGAGGTCTGCGAAGCCGATGGGGCAGGATGCCTCTGTAGCCATTCCCTCTCTGGCTCCTCCCCGACCTGCTGCCGGGGAGGTATTGACCCCCTGAAAATGTGGGCCTAAGGCCCAGCCTGGAAGGCTTGGAAAGGGGTGGGGAAGACCTGAGTCTCTGCAGCGCGGTCCAGGGGCGCAAAGGAGGGAGGTGGGCATTCCCTACCTCACCCACCCCCATCTTCAGAGACCCAACTGAGAGATGAGGTTCGGTTCTGGGTCTGGCCGACCCTATTGCTGGGAGAAAGCCTGGGGCACCCTGGAGGAGAGGGAAGGGGGTTCGGGGTGGGTCCCCCTCGGGACCCTATTGCTTGAAGGGGCTGGCAAGGCCCCTGGCGAGCGGAGCAGGGTGAGGCAGGCTCCCTCCCCCTATTGCTGTGAGGAGGGGCCCGCCCTCCGGCCCCTCCGCCCGGATGCCGGCGGAGACTTCCCTGGGGGCCCGTATTGCTGTGAGCCGACCCGGCTGGCCTGCCGCCCTAGGCCTGCACAGGACTGAGCTGCGGCGGGGCGGGGGTCGCGGGGCCGCCTGCGCTGCCTGCGCCGCCCTTGAAGCAGGCCGACTCGTAGTGCTTGTTGAGATAGGACTTGAGGGCGAAGCTCTTCTTGCAGCGCTTGCACTGGAAGTGCTTGAAGGCCGAGTGCGTCTGCATGTGCGCGCGCAGGTTGGAGCGGTCGGCGAAGGCCTTGCCGCAGTGCGCGCAGCCAAAGGGCTTCTCACCCGTGTGCGAGCGCATGTGCCCCTGTAGCAACCAGGGCCTGGAGAAAGCCTTGCCGCACACGCCGCACTTGTGACGCAGGTCGTGCGTGAGCAGGTGCATGGCCATGGCCGGCATGGACACATACACCTTGCCGCACGTTGGGCAACGCCGCGCCAGCTGGCTGTCCAGACTTCGGTGCGTCTGCTTGTGGCGGCTCAGGTTCGACGACGTGGCGTAGGTCTTGCCGCACTCGCCGCACGCGTGCCGGCCTGCGGCGCTGGAGGCGCCTGACCCCGCGCGAGCCTCGGCGCCAGCCCCTGTGCGCGCACCGCCCCGGCCCCCAGCCCCCGGCCCCGCACCCCGCGCTCCCGGCCCACCCCCGCCGCCGGCATCGCGTTCTGGGGCCGCTGCTGAAGCAGTGGAGGGGGCGGTGGCCGCGTTGGCTTGGGAGGCCTTGCGACGCGAGCGCCCGTCGGTGATGAAGAAGGCGTCGGCTGCGTAGCCCTCGCTGACCGCCGCGTCTCCGTTAATGTAGCCTCCCGCGGCGGTGGCCAGCTCCGGACGCGGGGTGGGCGGTGGCGCCGAGGCCGCCGGCCCCAGCTCTCCCCGCACAGCCGCAGCGTACATGGGCTCCGGGGACGGCCCTTTGAGCAGCGCCGCCTCCGCGTCGCCATCGTAGACGGACGCTGGCCCCACGTAGTCGCTGAGGTATCCTGAAGGCCGGGGCGGGACAGACAGACAACGGGAGGGGCACAGGGAGTCGGGCGGGACACACACGGGGCCGGGCAGGCGAGGCACAGGTACGAGAGCAGGCGACCAGGGAGGAGGACAAAGGAGACAGGTCCGGGGGAGCGCGGGGCAGGAAGGATGGAGACAGCAGGGAGGGGAAGAGAGAAGAACAGAGCAGAGCAGAGGGTGAGCCGGGGCCGGGCCGGCTCCGCCCCGCTGCCCCAGTGCCCCGCCCCCGCGGGGGGAGGAGAAAGGCGCGTCTTCGGGCGCGGCTGCCCCCCCTTCCACAGAGCCTCAAGGTCAGGGGGGAGGGGCGGCGCTTCCCTCTTCCTCCTCCTCCTCCCCCTCCCCCTCGGGTTCTCCCCACTTCAGCAGTTTTCCCTGATTATGCAACACACTGCAGACCCGCCGCGCACAAAGCCAGGACTGCCAGCACAGGGACCCCGACAGTCCCGCCTCTCTGGGGTCCCTGAGAATCTGCCCCCAGCCTTGATGCTAGCTCCTTAGTTCTTCTACAAGCCCTAGAGACTTCTGCCTCTCACAGCTTTTCTGACCCTCAAGGGCACCTCCCCCTCATTTTCCACCTCTCCCATCACTCCCTGGACCTCATTGAGCCCTGCCCATCTCCCTCTATCCACTCTTCCCTGTCACTCACTCTGTTCTACACTGCTGAGTCCTATCCTGCTCCTCCGTGCCCCTCTTCTCCCCAACCCTATCCCTTGCAGGGGCTTTCCCAGACTAGGGAGACTGTAGTAAGCAAACTGCCAGCCAGAACATCCACCAGGGGACACCTTCAAAGGACAACTGCAGGAGGGCAGCATCATTCATGCCAGTAACTGCAGCTCCAAGAAACAAGATGGACCTCACAATCTCAAGTCACAGACAAACTCTCCTTAAGATGCAGGCTCTGACTCTTTCAGGGTTACACCAGCTTGTGAGTCACCATTAGCCCTGAGGTCTCCTCCTAAGGTAGGCTGCAAGCTGACCCTGGCACTCACCACCTACTCATGCAGGGTTACATATGCAGCCATCCCAGACACACTCTTGGTCACATGGTACAGAGCGGTCTGAGTCACATGGTCCCATGTAGTGGCACACAGGCAGGCACACACTCACACAGGGTCACACACAAGCTCACACAGTCACATGGCCACACACAGTCACATGGGCCCACACAGGCTCATGCTCCTGCAGGTCACACTTGCTCTGCCACCCCATACTGCTGGCACTCCCAGCCCCCTTGCCTGCATGCTAACAGTTGTCCTTGAACTTGGGCATTCTGATATAAAGAGCCTCTTCTTCCTCCAGCACCTTGGTTTGAGCTTGCCTGCATCCTCCTCCCTGATCCTGACTTCAGAGAAGATACTGCTCTGCCTCTGCTGGTTATTTGGCCCTGACAGGTGGGCAGCCATGCTGGGCCCCATGGCTCCTCCCTGGAGCTCCCATCATCCCCCAGATAACCCTTGCAGGGGTCCTGGAGGCTCACTCAAGAAAGAAGAGGGTAGTCAGATGGGCCAAGTTTCTGGGTGTGGGTCTGCATGTCCCTGTGTGGCTAGGTCCTGTCATGTCATCAGGTGTCTAAGTAGCTGTACCGATCTCTGAAGGGTCAGGGTGTTAGTCAGTGCCTTCTCTTCCTGACATCTCTTCCCAGTCTTCTTTCCTGCATCCACACTCTCTGCCCAGTCTTGACAGGAATCTGACCTGCCTCTGTGTACCTCCCTCCCTGTACCCATCTCTGCCTCTGTCCCAGGTCCAGCCTCAGCCTTCTGTCAGTCCCCTGAGTCTGTTTCCCGATTCTGTATCTCTATGCCCACATTCTAGGACCCACCCCTTCCAGAAACCCCCAGTCCCCCTCACTCCAGCCCTAACCCAGCCCAGCTCGCACCTTTATCGTGCAGTCGTGCTCCGAGGTCGCTGCGGGCACGCCCGTAGGAGCTGTCGAGGTCTGCTGAAGAAAACGTGTCAAGTTTGACCTTCTTGACCAGGAAGGACCTGGGCATGATTCCTGCGGGGCTCCGGCACTGTGGGCCTGCGGAGCCGGGGCTCAAGGGGGCTGCAGCCGCAGCGAGGCCCCGTCACCATCCGAGGAGCGGCAAAGGCAGCACCAGTCCCCACTGTGGCCTGTGGATGCTGTTGCGCGAGTGCGGTTGTCTCCTCCTGTGCCCCTCCGGACCCCTCTTCTCCGTCTTCTCCTTCCTTCCTTTCTCCTCCCCTCTCTCCTCTCTTCTCTTCCTTCCTTCCCTCCTCTGGTCCCGGCTTCCCAGCCCGCAGTGCCGCCCCTGGACAGGCGGGGGAGGAGGGAGGGGGGAGGGGGGCGGAGAGGGGGGGAGCCGCTCCGTCCCGGGCCCGGAGGCTGCGAATGGGTGCAGGGCTGGCCCGGCCCCGCGGCCCCCTTGCCCTCCCCCCCCCCGCCGCCGCGCGGAGCCTCAGTTAGCGCCCCCCCATGCCCCCGGGGGCGGTGGCGCGGGGCCTGGAGAACACGGCAGCAGTAGCGGCGGCGGCAGGAGCGCAGGCAGCTTCAGCACCGCGGCCAGCGCCAGTCTGGGCAGCACCGCGGCCAGCGCCCGGGAGCGCTCAACCTGCGCCCGGAAAGAGGGGCGGGCCACAGGGACTCGGCAGCCAGGCGGGGGTCCTTGGCGGGGGTCTCCTGGAGGCTTGCTTTATTGTTCTGCAGCCGGAGCGAGTGGCGGCGGCGGCGGCGGCGGCGGCGGCGGCGGGCGGGGGGCGGGGGTCCTCGGGGGGAGGGGTGCGCAGGGAGGGCGGGTTGAGAGAGGGGGAGGGAGGGGCGGCGGGGCTCCGGGGGCGGGGCTGGCGCTCGGACTCTACCGGGCCGGCCTCCGAGCTCGCAGCCTCCTCTGCCTGCGGCCGAGCCCAGCCTCCAGCTTTTAAAGACAGGAGCTGGGGGAGGGGGAGGAAGAGACCAGCGGAAATGGCTGCGCTGAGTCGGGCCGGGGTCCCTGGGGAGGGGTCCCGGGGAAGCCTCGCTTGGGCGTGAGGGGAGTTCCCTGCACCGCTCGGTAGGGGCCGCCCAGCGGCGGGCGGCATGGTTGGGCGTATGGCGAGAGGTGGCAAAGGGCCTGGCACCAACGCGACTGGATTCGAGGGTCACTTAGGAGGACGCAAGTGGATCGGTTGGTCCGTAGGAGCGCAGGCCGTGCGGAGAGGCGGAGGGTGATGCTGAGACAGCGAAAGCGCAGTGTGGAAGCGTGGCTTGCGCCCGGTGCCGCAGTGTCTCCTGCCACTCGGTCACCCGGGTTGACCCCGTACCCGCCTGAGGGGCCTCCCTGCCCCCGTCTCTCCGGTGGGGTAAATGTTGCAGAGATCGGTTGTGAAGGATGAGAGGGGCTACCATGCCCTTACTTCAAGAACGCGGCTTCATTGGTAGTTTCCACCCTTCCTCGCGGCTGCAGCGGCCCGAGAAGACCCGCAACCAGGCGGATAACCCTTCCCGCGGCCTCCCATCCGGAGTTTGCAGCCCCCATGACGTCAGGCCTGGCGGCCAATGGCGGGGAGCGGGTCTCTGGGCCACACAATGGCCGCGCGCGGGTACATATGTCCCCAATTAAGGCCCGGCGCTGCCATTGTCCCCTCACCTGCTCCCCCACCCGGCGTTGGGGTCTCCCTGCGCTGAGCCCGCCCCACGCATCTCGCTATCTCTGGGGACCAAGGTCGCGGGGCGGCTCGGGACTGCGGCCAGCGTTATGGGGCGGGGGCGCGCTCGTCGCCGCGCACGGTGACCTTGTGCGGATCGGCCCGGCGGGCGCGCGCACGGGGGCGCGTCCAGAATGCTGAGCTCAGCGCCCGCTTCCTGCTGCCTCCCACATCCGCAAACCCGGGATCTGCCGTGGTGGGTGAACGCGTGGAGACCACCAGCCCTGTGGTGCTCGGCCCCTCGCGGAGCTACCGAACATTCATCTTGCTTGGCAGGCGCTCCCGAGAGGTGGGGGCGGGGCGCAGCCGCCCCCTTATCGCCTAGCCCCAGCCAGCTAAGCGTACAGCAGGGCGGAGGCGGGGGTCCCCCATCGGCCGACCCGCTAGTCTTGGCTTCCTCCCAGGGGGTCCCTGGCAGAGGCGCAGCCGGAGGCGCGGAGACAATTAGCATTTTGATTGCGGGACTGGGGGGGGCCCATCTGGAACCAGGCCTAATTACTCCGCGGACCCTCGCTGCGCCGACGGGACATACCAGGCGCGACCCCCTCTCCAGGCACTGCCTCCACCCCGACACGCTCCCCCAACTCTGACCTAGCGACTCTCCAGCTGCAGTAGCCCAGTGGCCCAGTCATCCCGTTGTTCTGTTCCTCTAACCCCCTCTTTCTTGCCTTCCTTTAGCCCGTTCTGGTCTCGGTCTTTTAACGCCTCTGTTTCTTGACCCAATTCTTCTGTCGCCCCTTACTAATTCCTCGTTTTTCCATCCTTTGACTCAATGTCTTGGTCCCCGTGTCCTCTGCCTCCTTTACCACTTTCCTGCCTCTCTTTGTCCATTTCTTTGCCCTTTTGGCCTCCAAACCTCTCAAAGGACAAGACCTCTGAGCATGGACACCTGTGTCCCCCTGGCCTGATGCTCCAAGGAGACCATTTGGAAAGCCTTTGCTTGCCCCAGTGAATGACACAACCCTTCAGGGCACCGGAGGAAGAGACAGCTGGGTCCAGGTCTTGGCTATGAGTATGCACCTGCTCGGGTGTGCAATTACTTAGGTTTTCTTACCCTGTCTCCATGCAGCATCTTGTGCATTTGAAAGTCAGGGCTCCAATTCCAGGTGTAGCCTGGAGAGGTTGGGAAAGGTAGTTGGTGAATCTCCGATTCTAGAAAGTTTCCACCTCCTTCACTGGATGACCCCATGAGCCTCTCCCACTAAAAGCTGAGAAGCTTTGTTACAGGAAAGAGCTGGTAAAGAACCCCAGTTGGTGGAGGCTCTGGGCCCTGCCTGCACCAGCCTGCTAAACACTCCCTGCAAAGCCTCTCAGTGGGGATGTCTTCTTGCTGTCCTAACTCAAGGGAAACTGCTCAGTCCCTCCTCTCTTCCCCAGCTGGGTATCCCAGTGTTGGTTTGGTTTATGACTGTTCCCCTCTGCCTCCCAGTCCTTCCCAGACCCCATGTTGCAGAGAAAGACCAGGCTTAAGTGGGTGAGGGAAACTGTTGTGTTTCCAGCACTTCCACCCTCAACCAGTAAAGACTGAGGGCCTAGTATGTCCAGCTTCAAATGCTGTGGCTCACTTCTCCCTGCTCTGTTCCAGCCAAATACCAACCAAGAAAATCAGTGGACAGCCTATAATGCAAGGCCCACCTGTCTTGCTGGGTAGAGAAAAGGTAATGGACAGAGAATGGGAAATGGAACTGAGGTGACAGGTGAGCAGTAACTTCAGTGACTGGCTAGAGTATATAGCTGGGAGAAGATGAAGTCATTAGCAGGGATAAGAGATCAAGACTATGTGGACTCAGGGAGATTAAAACACACACACACACACACACACACACACACACACACACACACACACAAATGGGCTGCATGGTATGGTGGCCTGTAATCCCAGCACTCTGAAGACTGAAGCAGGATGATCCCTGTGAGTTTGAGGCCAGCCTAGGCTACATAGTAAGACACTGACACACACACTCTTTCTTAAATACACAGATACACACACACACACACACACACACACACACACACACAGCAGAGACCAGCCGCAGCAATGGGAGTGAGGGTACAATAGCAAGGGTGGGTACTAGTGGCTACTGCAGCAGATGACTTGTACAGTTTGCAGGTCAAGAAGAGTTTGCAGGTCAGTGATGAATAAGAGGGATAGGTGCCCTATTTCCAGGTAGGGAGAGAGAAGCAGCCCCCAGAGAGAGTTGCTGGATAGAACAGATTCCATCAGCTTGGCTGGTGGCAGTAGGAACCCTAGGGAAGGGTTTCAGGATGGGTGTGTGTGTGTGTGGAAAGCGTGATGGAGGAGACAGAAGCTTTGGAAGCCAATGTCACAAGTAGAGCCACAAAGAAGTTTAACCATAACTATCTCCATGAAAAAGACAAGCAACAACAACAAAAACAAAAACAAACGAACAAAAATTTGTTATGCTTTGCCGGGGAGACGGCTCAGTGGAATAAGCACTTCCCCGGCAAGCGCAAGGGTCTGAGTTCAATCCCTGGTTCCGCAAAAAGAAAAAAAAGAAAAAGACAAGCAAAACTGGGTGTGGTGGCCCATGCTTATAATTCCAGCATTTGGGAAGCTGGGGCAGGAGGATTGTTGCAAGTTTGAAACCAGTTTGGGCTACAAAGTGTGCTCAAGGCCAACCTGAATTACATGGCAAGATCCTGTCTCAAAAAGACAAATAACTAAGCCAGACATGATGTCATATGCACGTGTAATTACAGCACTCCTGGAAGACTAAAAAGATTGAAAGTCCAAGCCTAGCCTCGGTAATTTAACAATTTAGTGAGACTTTGTCTCAAAAAATTGAAAAGCGCTGGGAATATAACTAAGGGTTACATCTTCAGTTAAGCACATGCATATATACCTTATTAGGATCTAAAACATTTAAATTAGACGACAAAAGCTTTTTTGTTTTTTGTATTTTGGGGAAGGATCTACAGGGTGTTCAGGGTCTCACTACTAGATTGGACTTGTAGTGATCCACCTGTGTACAGCCTCCCAAGAGCTGGGATTACAGGTACTTGCCACCACACCCAGGCTCACTTGCCATCTCAGTGCACTCTGGGAGCGGGGCCAGCACTGCAAGCCTGAGGATCAAACCCCTGGCCCCTGTGCCTGCTTGCAGGTGCTTTAATCTGCTGAGCTATGTGGCCAGCCCCGATGACAAAAGTATCGGTGATGATTATTAGGATGAAAAATTATTTCAGGGCTTTAGCGAGGTGTGGTAGTACCTGCCTATAATCCCAGCAATCAGGAGGCTGAGGCAGGATCCAGACTCTGTCACAAAACAAAACAATTGGAGCTTTTGTTCTATTATAGGAAATAGCAAATATACACAAAAGCATAAAAAGCCAGAGAGGGGTCCCCATTGCCAACAACTATCTTTGCCAAAAATCAGTTTACCAACAGTCCATTCCCCTCTCCTTTCTCATTGTAAATTGGTACAACTACTATGGAATTCAGT